AATCACTGTAAATTTTATATAATCAAAATTGTCTGTTTTATCTTCCGTGATCCTCTCTTATCATTAGGTCTTGAACTCTTCCTCCAGTTAGACTTTTTTTGTTTTGTTTTTGCTAGGCAATGGGGTTAAGTGACTTGCCCAGGGTCACACACGTAGTAAGTGTCAAGTGTCTGGTCTGAGACTGGATTTGAACTCAAGTCCTCTTGACTCCAGGGCCATTGCTCTATCCTCTGTGCCACCTAGCTGCCCCCAGTTAGATATTTTAAAGATATTTTCTTCTTTGTTCCTTTACTTTGTTTCTGATGTTATTCTTTCTAAGTCATGTATCTTGCTTTGAACTTATCTTAGCATATAGTATTAAGTGTATTGCTAGACTGCTTTCTAGTTATCTCAGCAGTTTTTAATCAGATACTAAATATAATGAAGTCTCTAGAACCTATGAACATAGAAAACAAATGCCAGTAAAAAAGAATCCACAGATCATTTTTAGGGAAAAACAAAACAAAACAAAAATGAATGGTGTCTTCAGGACAATCAGTAGTCAAACGTACTAACTCCAAAGACAACAAATTCTGTAAGTGACCTGGAGAAAGACCTTCAAATATAAGAGAAAAGAAAATTCAAATAATGTAAGACTATTCTATAGCCACTAGAAACCATAGGGGGAAATGGAATAATGCATTCCAAAGAGCAAAGGAGGTAAAATCCACCTTGACAAGGCCTGCAATTTGGAGAATTCCTATGAAGAAAAGCGTACATTATGAACAGATTATTTACTTTGTAAATATCCCAGCTAACAGAAATAAAAGTAAAAAAATACAGTAAACAGAGAAGGGATAGGTAATGAAGTAAATTACCCCTCCTCCCCCCAAAAAAAGGAAAGGGAGAGGAAATGGGAGGAGGACACCAATGTGATTTACAACAACAGTAATGGAGAGACCATTAAGGATTTCTTTCTAAAAGTATGCCAGGAAACAAGAGTGAAAGGTGTCCCACTGAAGAGTATTCCCTTGGAAGGGACAGAGATATTTTCTAACAGGAGACCACCTTAGAATGGATATATTTTGCTGGGATTTGATGATTAGAGACAACAGCACCTCTTAGTGTTGTGTCTCTATGAACAACATACTGCCCAGGATAAGGGGAGTCAGCCCTCCTAGGGGCAACAGACACTCAGAAGTGTGGGGGGACATGGAGGCAGAGAGGATATTTAATGGCAAATGTGCAAAAAAAATGATCACAAGGAGGTTTAATACTGAATTGTATGATTAGGGACGTAGGAAAATTCCAAACATGTGGAAATATCCCTCTATCACTTGTATAAGTTGGTATTTCTTATTTCTAAAAGTGAGGCACTGCATGAAAGGGGGAGGGGTAGGGGACAAGATAAAAAAAGCAATAAAATATAAACTATTTGTAAGAGAAAACTAGAAAATAGGTACTTCAGAAGAATTAATGTGTTTAGGAATACATACACTAATGAAGTAATAAGTTTAAAAGCCTTTAATCAAAGAATAATAGCCTAGAATAGACAGAAAGGGAAGAGAAATATCAAAAAGAACAAGGGAAATAAATACTTTCTAGAAAAAGTCATTGAACATGAAAAAAATCCTAATATAACAAGTTGAAAGGGAATAGGGAAATAGAGTTCATATGACTTTTTAATTGAGAGAAAATTAAACTGCAAGGATTAGATAACTTGATAAAAGAAAAAGAGGAACTGGAACAAATAATAAAACTTCCCTAAACTAGAGAAAGTGGCAAAAACAGCAACAAACAAACAAGGGGTTGGAGTGGGTCTTGAGGATGAAGGGAAGTAAGCTGGTGGGAATAGGAATACCCTAGAGTAAATTAAGGTAAAATAAGTTTTCAGGTTTTCTTCAGTGTATTAATTAGTTCTGATTTTTTCTCTTTTCTTTAAAAGTGTTGTGATTTAGTAGTCAATGACTATAGTAATCTATGTTTGATAAATCCAAAGACCTCAGCTTCTTGGAAAAAACTCACTGTTTGACAAAAACTGCTGGGAAAACTGTGAAAGAGTATAGCAGGAACTAGGCATAGACCAAAATCTTACATCATATACCAAAATAAGGTCAAAATGGGTACATCATTTAGATGTAAAGGCTGATATTATAAACAGACTGGGAGAGCAATGAATAGTTCACTTATCAGATTTATAGAGAACAGAAGAATTTATGACCAAACAAGAGATAGAGAACATTATGAAATGCAAAATGGATAATTTTGATTATATTAGTTTTTCCACAAACAAAGCCAATGCAACCAAGTTTAGGAGAAAAGCAGACAACTGGGAAGCAATTTTTACAACCAGTATCTCTGATAAAGGCCTTATTTCTATGATATATGGAGAACTAAATCAAATGTATAAGAATACAAGTTATTCCCCAATTGATAAATGGTCAAAGGATATGAACACACAATTTTCAGATGAAGAAATTAAAACCATCTATAGTCATATAAAAAAATGCTCTAAATCACTGTTGATTAGAGAAATGCAAATCAAAACAACACTGAGGTATCACATCACACCTATCAGATTGGCTAACATGAGAAAACAGGAAAATGATAAATGTTGGAGAAGATGTGGGAAAATTGGAACACTAGTGCATTGTTGGTGGACTTGTGAACTGATCCAACCATTTTGGAGAGCAATTTGGAACTATGCCCAAAGGGCTATAAAAATGTGCATACCTTTTGACCCAGCAATACCACTTCTAGGTCTGTACCCTGAAGAGATCATACAAACAGGAAAAGGACCCACATGTACAAAAATATGGGGTGTCCATCAATTGGGGAATGGCTGAACAGGTTGTGGAATATGAATGTAATGGAACTATTGTGCTATAAGAAATGATAAGCAAGCAGACTTCAGAAAAACTTGAAAAGACTCGTATGCACTGATGCTGAGTGAAGTGAGCATAAGCAGGGGAACATTGTACATAGTAACCACCACATTGTGCGATGACTAACTTTGATAGTTAACTCTTCTCAGAAATTCAAGGATCTAAGACATCTCCAAAAGTCTTATGATGGAAAATGCTATCCACATGCAGAGAAAGAACTATGGAGTTTGAATGCTGATTGAAGCACATTATTTGCTCTTTCTTTTTCCTCTCTTTTGTTTTGTTTCTTCTTTCTTGTGGATTTTCCTATTGGTTCTAATTCTTCTGTACAACATGACTAATGTGAAAATATGTTTAACAGGAATGTATAAGCAGAGCCTATATCAGAATGCATGCTATCTTGGAGAGGGAGGCCGGGAGGGAAGGGGAGAAAATTTAAAATTCAAAAGCTTATGGAAGTGAATGTTGAAAACTAAAAATAAGTAAATTAATTAAAATGTGATATAGGAGATTTCTCTAGGAAGGAGTGACACTGCAGGAAATTTTGGTGATGTAAAATAACAAAATAACAATAAAATGTATTTTTAAAAAAGAGACCATGTTGCAGTGATCTCTTAATTTAAAGTCAAATGGGCTTTCATCAGCCTGCATCTTTTAGGATCCCTTTGCATTGTTTGATACTTGACTATCTTCTTCTCTTCAAGTTTTACTGAAATTGCTGTCTTGGTTCCCTTTCTACCCATTCCCAACTACACATTGTTCTTTCCTGCTCCCTCCTCTCCTTAGTTGGGTTTTCATCCTTGTCATGCTTACTATGGTCACTCCCCATACCTTAAACTCAGTTCACCCTGGCATTTCATTGATTGGCCAAGAATAGGTCCCAGCTGAAGCCGGACTTAGTGGTAGTATTTTGGGTCCTGATGGCTCAGAGGGAATGAAAATAGCATTTTTTGTGTTTCACCAGGAAACTCTCAGATTTATACTTTTAATTTGATTAGGTAAAAGAGATCATTCTTTTGCTCATTTCTTACTTAGCTTTAATCACTGAATGGTCTTTGCCTCAGTCAGACTGAGAACTGGGAAAGATCTTAGTTTAAAATGGCCAAGGTCTCCCACTGCAGTCCGGAGCCATCTCTAATTATTCTGATTTGTATCTTGCCACTGGACCCAGATGACTGCAGAGGAGAAAGTGAGGCTGGTGACTTTGCACAGCCATCCCTCACTTAAATCTAATTCACTTGCAAATCATGGCATCATTTTCCATGGTCCTGTTCAAGAACGAAGAACAAACAAACAGCAACCACAGTGGTCGCTCCAAAGTAGTCTGTGTTGGACCATCTTCTCCTCCCTCAGTACTGTCACTTGGTGATCTCATTAGCTACAGTGGTTTTAATTATCACCTCTTTGCTGATGATTTCCTGATCCATATATATCCATTTCTAAAACCTCTGTCCTTTTCAGTCTCATATTATCAGCTGCATTTTGGTTACCTCAAAATTGTGGTCCTGTGTCTTACACTCAACGTGCTAATATTGAACTCATCTTTTACTCAAAACCTTCCCTCTTCTGACTTTCCTGTTTCTGTCCTAGTCCTTTAAAAATATATTTCATATGTTTATGATTCTCTTAAGAATATTATCTGTACATTTTTCTGAAACAAGAAAAATAGCGAAGTCCTATGGTTCATAATTATGTTTACTTCCTCTTTGTTTTCACTTCACATAAAGACATTTAAACTTTTTAGGAAACATCTGCATATTATGTGTGCTTAATAAGTTATAATAATAATAGCTCATATTTATACAGTGCTTAGGGATTGCAAAACTCTGCTGATCACATAACTTCATTATAGAAGATAACTGTTTGCATTTCACAATTGTGTTTACATTTCGAAACTTTGAGTTAAGTGCTAGGACAGTATATTACTTTCACACAAGATTCTATATCATTTAAAGTAACAATTTTTGGATTGAAATGTAAACAAATAGAAAATTTTACACTTATTTCCCTTTTGTATATGTTAATTATATCATTCGATTTAATAGACAAATTATTTCATGCTCATTTTATCATTTTGTTACTTTTAATGTACTTTATTATGCTTAATATTTTCTTAAATGTGTGTTTTAATTTTAGACTTTTGCATCTGATTTAACTGAGGCAAAGAGACAAATTGAGGAATCACGGCTTAACTGCAATGAATTGGCATCACAGTTGGATCAAAAGCAGGCTGAAATAATGCAGAAGGATCTGGATATCACTCTAGTGAAGCAAGTATATTCAGTCACTAATAAATATGGATATTTTAGAAGTTGCATCAGTACATATAAATTTATTATTTTCTCCTTAAGTTCCTTTATCTTAAAGAAAGAGGTAGAGTGATTCTTTCTAAAACTAGTCACTCTACCTGCATGTCTACGATTCTACTCCCTTCTTCCTTCCCTTGAACCTTACTCTTATCAGTCAGACCCCTTTCTTGACTTTATCTTCAGTCTCATTATAAATCATAGAGTTTGGAGCTTATTCTAGACCTTTATCGTGCATATGAGAAAAATTGGGCAGAGAGGTTCAATCATTTGTACAAAGGTTACACAATAGTAATTGGTAGGCTGAAATCTTATCCCGTGTCTTTTGTTTCCAGATGCTTTCCTTGATACTTTCTTCCGTATCTGCTTGCCAACATGTTCTGTTCTTCCCAGAATTAAAGAAGGAAACCATCTTGTGATTATTATCTTCTTTATATTTCTTTCAGACTTAAAAATTCATCTATTCCTTCACTTACAGCCTTTGCAGTTTGGGTTTTATCCTAAACAAAATTTCAGAAATTATTCTCATTTTTAACCAATGACATTTTCATCCTCATATCTTTGTTTGATTCCTTGTGACTTTCTGAAGTATTTGATACCTTTTACCACCCTTTCTTCCTTGATTTTATTTCATTGGCTTTTGTGATGTCATACTCCTGTTTCTCATCTTTCCTTCTTAACTGCTCCTTCACCCTTTCCTCTTCCTGCACCAGGTGTTCTTTAACCTTTTCTTCTTGACCTTTTCCCCTACTCTGGTCAGTCACTTGGCTATTTTTTTCTAATCCATGGCTTCAGTGATCATGTTTATAGAGATATATATCTTCAGCCACAACCCTTTTTCCTCAAGATCTGTACCTGCATTTTATGTATATTTTTACCAGGATGTTTCAGTGTTTTCCTCAAACTTAGCTTCTCCAGTGCATAGTTTCTGATCAGTGTGCCCTGATGTCTCATCCACCCCCATCCCTCCAACATTCCTTTTGACCTCTTGGTTTCTGTCAAAAACATGAACATTTTTTCCAGGCATCATCTATGCTTTAATCATCAATGGTACCTTTAATTCTCCCCTTTGTATCAATTTGGCCAGAAAGTAGAGGATGGACTAGAACAGAGAGACCAATTAGAAGGCTGTTGTAATAACCATGGAGGGAGATGATAAAGGTTTTTGAACTTAGGTGGTAGTTGTGTGAATTGAGAGGAGTCAGGTGGGAGAGATGTTGAGGAGTTAGAAGTGAAAGTTATGAGTTAGATATGGCAACTAATTGGCTATGTGGGTTAAGGAAGAGGGAATTGTTGAGGATAATGCCAAATTTACAAACCTGGGAGACCTGAAAATGTGTTGCTTTTGACATAACTAGGGAAGTTTGAAAACAGCGTAGGTTTAGGTTAAAAGATAATGATTTCTGCTTTCGATGTGTTGAGTTTGATGTGTCTCTGAGATATCTAGCTTGAAATATCCAAAAAGCAATTGTTGATGTAGATCTGAAGGTCAAGGGATACAATGAGATTGCATATGTAGCTTTGGATGTCATCTGAATAAAGATGACAGTTAAATCCATGGAAGGGAATGAGATGGGGGGTGGGGCTTCGGGGATCAGATCACCCACAGTTAGGTCATGTGATCTGAATGGTGAACCAATAAAAGAGACTGAGCAATGAGCAGTTAAAATGTAGGAGGGAAACTAAGAGAGTTTAGTGTCATGAAGGACAGAGAGGAGGGAATATCCAGGAGAACGTTGGTTAACAGTGTCAAAAAGCAGTAGATTGAGAAGGATGAGGACTGGAAAAAGACAGATTTGGCAATTATATGATCATTGATAATGTTAGAGAAAGGAGTTTGAGTTGAATTAGGAAGTCAGAAGCCAGATTGCAAAGGGTTGAGGAGTGATTAAAATGAAAGGAAGTAGAGCAAGCAAGTATAGATATTTTTTCTTAGCATTTTGCTGCGAAAGAAAGTATAGGATGCTAGGTAGCAGGGGATGGTAGAGTCTAGTGAAGTTTTTTATTTAAAAATTTTTTTTTTCAGTCAAAGACAAGGTTTATTAGAACATCCGTCTTATTGGGCAGACTCTTAAGGAATCTAAGCATTTGTGTCACTAATGCAAGCAGGCCAGATTTTAAGAATCTGAGCCAAAGTTGTTTTTTAAAGGATGGTCGGAGATAGGCATATTTGATGGGAGAAAGGACAATGAACAAGTCAAGAGATTGAAGATTAGAGAGAGAGAAGAAATGATTGGGGTCGAAGTCTGCTGGAAAATATTGAAGTAGATAGGATCAAGGGTATGTGGAAAGATTGACCTTAGCAAGAAGAAGGGGCACCTCATTGGTAGAGACAGGAGGAAAGGAGAAGAAAGGGTGAGTTGAGGGGTTTTGAAATGAAGAGAAGGGATGAAGAGAGAGCCTCTGTCTGGTGACCTCTAATATTCTCAATAAAATAAGAGGTAGTGTTATTAGCTCAGAGAGAAGAGATAGTGAGGTATGTGGGAGACTTGAGAAGAGATGAGAACAGAAAAGCTTGGAATTAGAAAAGCTTTGAAGAGAGTGATTTAGGTAATCAGTAAAGAATAAAATGACTTCTTTGCCACATAAGTGGTGGGAGTACTCTAGGGCTGAGGTTTAATAAAGGATGAATGGTGATAAGAATTTCAGAGTTGAGTACTGAATTGACTGAATATAAAGTCAGTTTTGGAGAAGGAGAGAGGTAAAGTCTGAGCAGAAGTAATGGCCTGAGAAAGTACTGAGAGATGGAGTGATTGGAGGTCTTGAGGGACAAAAATTAGTTTAGAAAGATGTCATATAGGGAGAGATGAAATATTAGGAAGTTATAGTCAGAGAAATACCAAATAGGAAGGTATTTCCTATGTAATTTAAATTTTGGCATTTATTGGACACTGAATTTTTTTCAGTTCTATGATTTCTTGTTCTTCTTTGTCTACTCTGTTCCATTGATCTACTTTTCATTTTTTAACTAATACTGACTTTGATGATTACCCCATTATAATAGATCTTTGTTTCTTCTATTCAGGATTGGTTTTGAAGAAATTTACATTTCCAGTTCCTCATACAGACTGATTGCTTCTATGTATTCCTTCTTTCCTGTGACCTAATTACCTCATGTTAATTTTGTATATATTTCATTTTTACTGCATGTATACATTTTGTTTCTGCTAGTAGAACATAAGATCCTTGAAAGCAGGGATTATTTCATTTTTCTCTGTGTCCTTAGTACCTCTGCTAGTGCTTCACTGGTAATGGGTATTTTGTGATTGCTGATTTATTGATTTCTAATTAAAAGAACTAAATACCAAATAAATATGCTATTTTGTTAGAATAGTCATGTATATTTTTATGCAGAATATCAAGAATTTATTTTAAACTAAATGTTTTATTTATATAAATTATAAAATTTGTTTATATTCTGTTTGAGCACTGCCCTGACAGGGAAGCCAGGCCTCCAGAAAAACACAAACACAACTATACAAAAAGATCGTGTCCTAACAGGCAGCTAGATAGTACAGGGGATAGATCACTGGACTTGGAGTTAGAAAGATCTGAGTTCAAATCCAGCGTCAGACAGTCACCAGGCTTTGACTCCGGGCAAGTCACTTAACCTCTGTCTTCCTTCAGTTAACTTATCTGTGAAATGGGGATAATAATAGCACCACTTGGGGCAGCTAGGTGGTACAGTGGCTAGAACACCGACCCAGAAGTCAGAAGGACCTGAGTTCAGATACAGCCTAAGATACTTACTAGCTGTGTAAACTCTGGGGAAGTCACTTAACCCTGATTGCCTCAAAAAAAAAAAAATAGTACCAACTTCCTACAATTGTTATGAAGATAACATGATGTGATAAGTATAAAGTGCTTTGCAAACCCTAAAACACTAAATATGATTATTTTCATATTAATAAATAGGATAGGGAAAATCCATTCTATTTGTGCAAGCCTCAATTTACCTAATTATAAACTTTAACCACCCAGTGTGGCTAAATAGTTGGGGTGCTACAAAGTCACTGAATTCATAGAACATATACTGGTCTTTATATTAGAGGTAGAGATGGAAAGACATTGAACACGTTTATGCTGTTGTATAAGGCACATAGTATTTACTAGTTTGTCATGGTTATAAACCAATTAGGAAAATACAAATAGGAACACTGAAAACCTGGCCCCCCATGTTTATAATTTATTAATTTCACATCTGCCTGTTAGAATCATTAGAATTCTTGGTCTCTTGCAAGACTCAGGTCTGTTTTTCTGCCCCCCGGTAAAACCTCTTTCCCAATACCTGCTAATTGTTAGTGTTCTTTCACCACTCTAATTTTGAGGTTACCAATTTGTGTACATGTTGGATCTTCAAGCTTTTTGAGAGCTGCAGGGACTGTTTTGTTTTTGTCTTTGCACTTTGTCCAAAATGTATTTTATAGCATAGGTATTGAATTGAGATGATTATGATGCCATCAGTTAAAAGAAATGGAAGAACCTCTAGTAGTTAAAGAAAATATTTAGAGAGAACATATAGTTGTTTATATATAACTTGCAGAAATATCAGTTCAAACCAGAAATTTGCCTATATACATCTTTGGTGCATCTAAAGACACCTGAACTAGCTATAGAGCTAGTCTGATCTTTGCCTTGGTGCAGAATATTATTTGGGTAATGGGATCACAGCAGCACCAAATTTTAGAGTCAACAAGGACCTCCACAGCCATGTAGTTCTAACCTCTGTTTTAATGGAATGTTCATTCCAGCTCACTGATAGGTGGTTATCCAGACTGAAAGCCTTTGATAAGGAAGAACCCATCACCCTCTGAAGCAGATCACTCATTTTACTTATGGACAGCTCTAATTGTAGGAGATTTTTCCTCATATCAAAGTTAAACTTACCTTTAAAAAATGTCTGTTCACATTCTGGATTCTGTCTTCTGCGCTATCCAAAACCATAGCTCAAGCATTGACCGATA